GTTGTTTCTTTGTTTTTGAGCTTAGCCATTTGCCCATTGATGGACATTTGGGGTTTTTTTTGGCCATTGTAAATAGTGCTACTACACACATTTACGTTCAGATCTTTGTGAAGATAAGTTTTCATTGGGAGAGGGTAGTATCTAGAAGTGGAATAGAATTGCTGTCATATGGTGGATTTATACTTGACTTTTTAGGAGCCTGCCAAATTACTCTCTGAGGTGACTGTCATTTTTACATTCCCACCAGCAGTTTATGGTGGTTCCCCTTTCTACACATTGTTCCCATCATTTGTTTTTTAAAGATTTATTAATTTATTCATACAAGAGCAGGGGCACAAGCCAGAGATGTGGGAGGTGAGAGGATCCACCAGAGACCGTGGGGAGCAGAACAGGTGGGTTTACTGAAACACACTGCTGAGGGAGCAGCAGGAGACAGGAGAGGTCTGCTGCGTCCTGTGGGTCACTCTCTGGCCGAGATTGAACTCCTGCTGCAGTGGCTGCAGATTGCTTTATAGTGCTGAGACTTAACCCCTTGCACCACAAGGGAGGCCCCTGTTCCCATCATTTGTTACTTTTGTCTTATTTTAGAGGAAGCAAAGGTATATTGTTTGATCCATAAATACTTCATTATGTACCTATTAAAATAAAGGCTCTAAAAAATATAAATATAATGTCATTGTGGCTAAAAAATAATGTCACAGTCTTTAGTATTATCAAATACTAGCTTGGGTTCAGATTTCCATTGTTTATACATGAATTTAAATTGTTCTTTTTTTTAATAAAGATTTATTTATTTATGCATACAGAACTGGGGTATAGGCCAGAGGTGCAGGGGCAGTAAGAGGATTCGTCAGAGACAGAGTGGGGAGCAGCACACAGATTGAAGAAGTCCACTGCTGAGGGGAGCAGCGGGCGGGTCAGGAGAGGTCTGCCGCGCCATGGGGTCACCTCCGGGGCAGGTGGGGATCGAACTCATGCGGAAGCGGCTTCAGCTTCTTAGTGCCGTGCTTTAGCCCGCTGTGCCACCAGGGAGGGCCTGGATTTAAATTTTTTAAAAAATCAGAATTTAAATAGGATTTTCACATTATGATTTGTTAATATACCTTTTAGGTCTTCCTACCCCTGTACCAATCCTCCATGCTGGATTTTGTTGATTATTTCCTTGTGTAACTTGATTGCTGATCAGTCTTTTGTACTTTTTGTCAATTGGTAATCAGATCTAGAAGCTGGATCATGTTCGGGTTTAATTGTTTCAGTGACACTGCCTCATAGGTGGACAGAGTCTGATTGTCTTTTTACCCCGTTGGTCACTGTGATGTCTGCGGTGTTTACCTCTTAGTTCCTCTGGAGCTGCTGTCCCAGGCTCAGTGCCTTACATGGCCAGAGCCTTCTCACAGCTCCGGAGGCAGAGTTGGACAGCAGGGAGGCCAACTTTTTACCTTTTTTTAAGATTTATTTCTTTATGCACACAGAACTGGGGTACAGGCCAGAGGTGCAGGTTGGTAAGAGGCTTCACCAGAGACAGAGTGGGGAGCAGAGCAGGGGGACTGATGAAGTATTCTGCTGAGGGGAGAAGCGGGTAGGTCAGGAGAGGTCTGCTGCACCATTTGGGTCACTTCCAGGGCGGGGATCGAACTCATGCTGAAGCGGCTTTTGCTTCTCAGTGCTGTGCTTTAAACCGCGGTGCCACAAAGAAGGCTGACTTGGTTACCTCTAATCTAGGCGCCTCCTGGCTCAGAGCTAGTGCCTGCGCTAAATCCTCCTGCAGTGGAAGGGACCAGGGGTATCATCCTGTCCCTAATCCTCTTTATGTAGACCACTGCCTTCGCGATCTGAGCACCTCCCAAAGACCCCTGCTTCCTAACAACATTTTGGGGATTAGAATTTCAAAATATGCTCTTTAACGATGCTGTTTGTTGTCAGAGTATCAGACTATGTTAAGTTTTATTCCATTGTATGGTAGATCTTGGTATAGTTCTCAAATATGGTTTACAGGGGCCCTCCCTGGTGGTGCAGTACTGCAGCTTGCACTACTGCAAGCTGGCCGCAGCCACTTCAATGCAAGTTCAATCCCCAGCCCTGGAGCTGACCCACATGGCGCCGCAGACCTCTCCTGACCCGCCCGCTGCTCCCCTCAGCAGTGTTGATCTGGTGTTCTGCTCTGCACTCTGTCTGGTGAAGCCTCTCACTGCCCCTGCACCTCTGGCTTGTACCCCAGTTCTGTTTGAATAAATAAATACATCTTTAAAGAAAATATATGGTCCACAGGACAAAGGAAGTGTATGAAGTGCGAACAGGTATCATTTCTTAGACAGTCATATGCTGGTTGCTTATGCTATGCGTCTCCACCCCAAGGGAGGTTTCAGGCCAATAAAGAAAACAGAAACGGCCCTCTGTATTCTGAGTGTGTATAGAATTTCCCCTGTTGGTGGAATATCTCGTAAGTATTCTAGTGCTTCTTGGCTTTGTAGTCTTAAAGCTTCTTGACTTAATTTAGCCTTTTCTGGATGGCAGGTGATTACCATTCATTTATTCAGTAAACACTTATTTTCTGACTTGTAGATTTGAATAAATGGTAATATTTAAATGGTCATTAACGTTATTTTAATAGTAATTTTCTAATTCTTACTGATGAAAAAAGCAGTCTAGATTTTATGCTAGAGGTGGTCTGGAGGGAGCTCTTACATCACGCACTGGTGTTCCCACACGCAGCCTAGATGCATTTGCAGCATTGTTGATGACGCACGCGTGCGCGCCGGCCACACATAGATGTGCAGTTGATGTGCATATTCCTGGAGTGATTCTCAGCTTACTAGGTAGCTTGGTAACTTATGTCTCCCACACTCTTACCCAGCAGCTGTTTTCCGGGTCTGTTATCTTCTCCTCAGGCCTTTTCTGCCCCGGGCTGGGGCAGGGGACAGGGCTGGGCATTACCTACGTGGACTTATCATTCTAGAAGACAGTCAGCTCAGAAACACGCCAGTGTTTGTGTCGTGAAGGTTGGGGCCAGTTGCTCTAACAAAAATAAAACAGTACTGGGGCGGAGAGCTGTGACGTCAGAGACTGCCAGGTGCGTTGTCTGGGCAGACAGCTGTTCTGGGCTGACTTGGGGAGAGTGAGGTGCTCCTCAGAGTCTAAATTTTAAATGGGAAGAGCGACTTGTTAGAGAAGCATCTGCTCTAAGCCAGAGACTGTGCTAAACAGTCGGAGTAAATTCATTTACACCTCACAGAAGAGTAGCCTTCAGGGCCCTGCCTGGGGGGTGCAGCGGGTTAGGACGCAGCGCTGCAAGTGAGCCGCAGCCACTTCAGTGCGAGTTCAGTCCCTGGTCCGGAGCTGACCCACGGTGCGTGGCAGACTCTTCCTGTCTCCCCGCTGCTCCCTCGGCAGTGGACTTCGTCCATCTGCCTCTTCTGCTCCCCACTCTGTCTCTGGTGCATCCTTTCACCCTCCTGCACCTCTGGCCTCTACCCCAGTTCTGTGTGCATAAATAAATGTATATTTAAAAAAAAAAAAAAGAGTCACGTTCTGTCATTATCCTTGCCCGGTAACTTAGGGAAGCAGAACTCGGTTACCAGGGCAGGGCCTGGGCCCTGCTCTGCCACTCACCCCGCTCAGCTGCTCCCAGTGACCCTGAAGAGGAGCCAAGACCAGGACTGTAGACTTGTATTTTGCATTTTCTTTCAGCTTTTCTCACTTATGCTTAGGTCGCAAGTTTATGAGTGAATCTGATCTCATTCCTTTTGCGAGTTCTGTCTGCACAGGGAGCTCCAAGGCCGTGAAGGTGCTTAGGCAGCGCCCTCACCCAGGCAGCGGCCAGTGGTCAGCGTTCTCACCTTTCTTTCCTGTGGGTAGAGAAGCTGACCTCAGTGCCTGCGGGCACTTTTGCTGCCTTTTGTAGATGTGAAGTTCGGTTTAATGGGAGGCCACAGGCCTGCGCTCCCTCAGGAAGTCGGCCGCCCTCTGGGGTCCTCCGTCTCCTCCACACAGCATCGCCAGCTCGGTCTGGCACGAAACCTTTTGTTCTTCGCTGCTCACCACCCAGCCCCATGTCGTGTGTCGTCGCTGGTGGCTCTCTCTCAAATACCAGCCCGGACTTGTCCCTCCCCGTGGAAACGCATGGGGGGCGGGGACCCCAGGAGGAGCCCCGGAGCCAGCCTCCTCCCTGGTTTCGGTCACAAGCCACCTGTGGGACAGTGGCATCCCGGTCTTGCTCCCGATGAGAGAGGTGAGGCTCTCCGCCTGGTCCCCACTGAGCAGTGGGCTGGTCGCGGCTGGCCAGACTGGTGCCGGGGTGCCGAGGGCCGTGACCCCACACCAAATTTGTCAAGCGTCTTTATCATGAAAGTGTCCTTTTGTTGTTGAATGTTGTTCCTGCCTTTACGGAAACTCTCCCGGCGCCCGCCCGATTCTGTTGCCAGGGGGTGGTCAGCCGTTGGCCTGGCTGTGGTGGGCCGGGGCCTCCTGCGCTTGCTTTGGAGTGTGCAGAGGCACCTGGCACTTCTCTCAGCAGGGCGCGGACCTGCAGGTTCCTTTTCTGGTGGTGTCTGCATCTGGTGTTGCCAGCAGGATGGTACTGGCTTCTGAGAACGAATTTGGAAATATTCCTCCACTTCTGTTTCTGGGAAGAGTTGGGGAGGATGGGTGCTCGTTTTCCTGACTTCCCATCTCCTAACTTGTTGTGGGTTCAGATTTCAGTCCTTTGTGATTAAGTCTTGATAAGTAGTCTGTCTCTAGGGCCACTCCTCTGGCTCATGCAGTCTGGAAGCCATGTAAAAGTGACCCTCAGGGCCGCCCTGGTGGCTCAGTTGGTTAAAGCACACCACAGCAGAACGAGCTCCATCCCCGGCCAGGGAGGGACCCCCAGGGCGCAGCACACCTCTCTGGTCTCCCCGCTGCTCCCCCCAGCAGTGGATTTCAGTCTGTCTGCCTGTTTGCTCCCTGCTCTGTCTCTAGTAAGTCCTGTCAGCCCCACATCTCTGGCCTGTACCCCAATTCTGCATGCATAGATAAATACATCTTTTCTAAAAAATGACCTTCATAATGGATCTGGATTGAAAACCCAGCTTCCCCTCCGTGTGTCTGGCCTGGTCGTTTCCCCTCTGGACTTGTGTGCTCAGCCCCGTTGTGGGTGAAGAGCCACAATGGGCCAAGGACGATTGGAGGTCACAGAAAGCCCTTGGCATAGGTGCTGGCTCACGGTGAGCGCTGGAAGCTTGGAGTTATGCTGCAGTTATAATTATTTAATATATTCTTCAAAAATGAGTTTAAGGGACGTACCGTTGATGTGGGCAAAGTGGCTGTTGGAGGGTTGTGATTGAGATTTTTCCTGTGTGGCCCCAACCTAGAAAAGAAGGATGAGGTGGGCTGCACGGGTCCCAGGCGGCTGTGAGCCTTCATCTTGCCTCACGGCATCTAAATGCAGGATAAATTAGGACAGGCACACTTTTTTTTTTTTTTTTGACAGGCACACTTTTAAAAAGTTTAAGTTTCATTGCTAGATCGTGTACATGATTTACAAATTCTCCTAAGCGGGTATCTCAGTGAATCTCCAGTGTAAGCACACTGATGCAGCCAGCAAGGAACATGTATGTCACCAGGCACTTCCGGAAGCCTCTCAGGCCCTTCTTCTGGGTGGTCCCAAAGGTTCTCCCAAGAATAGCTGCCATCCCGACCTCAGTCACCTAGCTCATACCCTGAGCCGGGGAGTTCTGCGCTGTGGTGGATGTGTCAGGTCTGCGAGACTCCCCCGCGCACTGCGTGTGGCAGGAGTGTGGTCTGGCCTCCCTGGGCGCGGCCTGGGCGCGGCCTGCCCCTCGGGCCTCTGCCCGAGCGTGGAGCCCTGTGTCCTAAGGCATCTGTCCCATGCAGTTGACTTAAATTCTCTCTTCTGCATGTAGAGTCAGAGTGGCCTGGCACTGCCCTTGGGAGTTTGCCAGCCCCTCAGGTCATTTTCTGGGGATGAGTCTCCAAGTCCTGAGAAAGACTTTTCTGGCCTTCGTGGTCAGCGGCGCTCCAGTGCCTGCCAGCAGACAACTTGTATTGCCTTGGTTAGGTCGGAACTCCAGCTCATGGGCACCGTGTCCAGAAGATTCTGTCTCCTTTTAGTAAGGCTTCCTTTCTTGAAACTCGCCACATATAACATTTTCAGAGGTAAATGAGCCTTCATGAAAAACTGAGCGAGAGATAAGAAAGGGGGTGTGCAGTGCAGGGCGTGAAGAGTGCCAGGTTCCTACAAGGTCGGGAAACAGCACTTCTCCGTGCCGCCATGGCCCCCTTCCCCTCCCGGCCGCTTCCACTTGTCGAATGTCCACTGGCTGCCAGACCTGGTCCAGCAGCATGGTGCCCTGAGGACGTTCCAGCCCTCCCCCAGCCAGCCCGGGGCCTGAGGCCCCCTCGGGAGGATCCTGCCTGCGCGCCCTTCCTCCTGTGAAGCTCTTGGGCCTGTTGAATTTGTGCTGAGTCCAGCTTCTGGTGCGTGCCACCGGGTGTGCGGCCGCATAGCTCGCAGCTGGACTGAGACACTGGGCTCTCGGAGCGGGGGAGGGGGTCAGAGCAGGTTGGCTTCTCACCCCACTCTTCCTGTCCCCCCAAATCTTTTCAAGGACGACGTGAGGCACAAGGTCCACCTGAACACCTTCGGCTTCCTCAGGGACGGGTACATGGTGGTCAACGTCAGCAGCCTGTCCGTGAGCCAGCCCGGCAAGGCCGCAGAGGAGGACCCGGCGGTGAGCCCTTCCCAGCGGGCTGTGTCCGCTTCTGCTGGCGGGTTCACTCCTCCCCCAGCCTGCACCTTGGGAATTTGGAGAAAAGTGACGCTACGAGGTGCCCTCAGATAGTTTCACTTTCAACACTTAGCTCTCATTCCTGAAGGGCTTGGTCACTAGTGAGCTGTCCTAAAGTGGACGCTGAGGAGGGACGCCGGCGAGCAGGGCCAGAGGTTGGGCTCCTGCTCCTCGGCGGCAGGGGCGCGGAGCCCGCCCGCCTCACCTCCCCTCTTCTCACCCCCCAGATCGGGTTCAGCCTGGACCGCACGAAGAACGATGGCTTCTCCTATATGGTGAGTGTCGGACGCGACCTGGTCGGCCCCTTCCCTTGAGTTGAGCACAGGGTGTGGGAACCGCTTCCGCCATCCCTGGGCGTGAGGTGGCGGCCGCGTTGATTCCCGAGCATCTCAGAGCCCCCACGTGCGCTCGCTGTTGGCAGTGGGGGCGGGGCCGTAGGTGCCTGGCCTTGGCACGCTTGCTCTTGTTCTGCTACGAGGGAGTAAGACGATGCCAACTGGGTCTTTCTTCCTCAGGATGAAGATGTGAATTACTGTATTTTAAAGAAACAATCTGTCTCTGACACCTTTCTAATCCTAGACATCTCCAGAAGTGAGTAAGTAATTCTGATGTTCCTTCAGCCCCCCCCAGAGTCAGCTCGGGGAGTTCGGTGGTTAAGCCACCTTGCTGGTCTGCCATGTACCACACTCAGTGCTGGTGGGGAAGAGTCCTTCGGGAGGTAGAGGCCTGGCTGGCCCGGGAGCAGCTGGCAGGCTGAGAGGGGAAGAGAATAACACAGATGAGCACAAACAGAGAAGGGAGGGCGGAGGCCCACGGGGTGGAGTGCGGGAGGGAAGGCTCCCGGTGAGTGCCCAAATGGCCTTTCCCATGAGTAAGAAAGACAGGGGCACTCAGCGAACCAACATGGGGTACAGAGGCGGTGCCAGCCGTTACTGATGAGCAGGAAGGTGGAGGGGACATGGGGGAGGCGAGACTGGATCTGGGCCCCCATAAAGGAGTGGTCTCATGTGCCAGTCCACAAGGCTTAGGCTCTTGGAGGGGACTGGGGCTCAGTGACCCTGGCCTGAGGGGCCCACAGCGGTAGCCTGTGCCCAAGAGCACCGACCCTGAGGCCAATCTAGTTGGAGCCTGCTTCTGCTTCTGCATGATCGCATGTCGAGGGCCTGGCCTCCCCCGTACTCTGTCTAGGGCTGTTGTGTGGACTGTGGACCTGTCAGTCTCCACAGGCGCTTGTTTTTGTGACTTCTGTGGGACTTGGGGCCTTCTGGCCCAGGACATCCTAGCTCTCTGCTTCTTGGTGAAGAGTGCCCAGGATAATCTCTGTTTTCATTTAAGAAACTAATTTGTCTCTCAGGGTGCTTGGCAGGCAGCAATGAAAGACTTGGTGGAGACTGGCTTAACCCGAAAAGACCCTTCTTGTTCAGCTCAGGGAATATGCAGAGTGCACGGGAGGGCTGCGGGCGAGACGCAGCCACAGCGGCTTCCCGGGTGAGGGCTGCGAGCCTCTCTCTGCTCTACCCTCCTGGCCGCTCGCTTCCTTTCTGGGGTCTCCTTGGCGGTCACCAGATGGCTCTGCTTCCTGTCTCGCATCTGAGGGGCCAGAGAGGAGTGCTTCCCTTCACGTTGTCCTGGTCCGCCCCCCCACTGTCCGCCGGGGACACGCCTGCCCCGCCTCTCGGCCCTGGTCCAGTTGGAGCCGGTGAAAGAGGGCGGAAGCGGCCCCGGGTGGGCTGCTGCTGGTGCTGCTGCCCTGCACTTGCCCCAGGCCGCGCTCTAACTTTTTCTTGGCTCTCTGCCCTCTTGTCCCATTTCCTGTGTGCCCATTTGCTGGACACAGAGTCACATCGCCAAGAAAGTAAGCTTTCACGTGAGACCGCCCGGCCCGCGCCCAGCTCCCCGCTCGCCTGTGCCCCGTGAGCTCCTCAGCCTCTGAGTCGCCCTTTCAGCCGGTGTCGCATCTGCGCCGACGTCACGGCGGCCTCAGCGCCGCTGCACTCTCGTGGCCCCGAGCTCCCTTTGAGCGTGTCCTTCTTGGCTGTTTGAATGTAGAGTGAAGATACGATCCCCGCCAGAAGCTGGGACCCAGTTACCGAAGATCTTTGTGACCAAGGACGAGAAAATCCTTGGGCAGCACCAGGAGCCCGGGAGTGGCCCCCCCGCTTCAGCGCACAACCAGACCCAGGGAAAGACCGGTACGCTGCGCGGGGCGAGCACGTCGCCCTGCTCCCTCGGTTCCTTGTGTTCCTGAGGACTAAAGCCTTAGCCTTCGTTTACTTCGGAGGTTGTACAAAGCCTGGTGACCGTGTAAGACAACGGTGGGCGAAGGAGCAGTGTTTCTCTTGCTTTAAACTCGTTTCCTGAGCCTGTGACATTGGATTTTAAAAATCCATAGTTGTGTCTATAATTTTATGGCGTCTCCTTCCACTAAGGTGTTTCTCACCAGTCACATGCCCCAGGAAACGGATACTGCACGTCACTCAGCCGCAGTGCTGCGGAGAGCTTCTCTTATTCTTCTCTGGAACTTTCTTTCGGGTGGGCTCCCAGAAACGGGCTGTCTGGGTCGTGGGACGGAGCCACTCTGAGGGCGTTGGTCCGTGAGCGCTGGTCCTTCCCCATCGGTTGTGGCGTTTGAGCTGGCGGAGCTGTGCATGGCGCTGCGCCCAGGTCCTGGCCCTGCTGGGGCTCCTTTTTGTTGTAGTTTATTTTCTGGGGTGCAGGCAGGTGAGAAGACTCCCCAGAGGCAGTGGGAGCAGAATAAGCGGATCCACTGAAGTCCACTGCTGAGGGGAGCAGCGGGGAGACAGGAGGGGTCTGCTGCGCCCCTTGGGCCACTCCCTGGCCGGGCATCAAACTCATGCTTCAGTAGCTGCGGACAGCCCATAGCACTGCGACTCAGCGCCTTGTGCCACCATGAGGGCCCTGGTTTCTGTTTTAGGAAGTCCCAAAGCCAAAGGCAGGAAAGCTGTGCTGAGGCGTGCGGTCTTCAGCAGGCAGCGGCACGTTGCTCCCTGCGCCCATCGACCCATTTCATGTAGCACGAGGCTCAGGCCCGTGTGATAACCGGTGTTCCTTCTCTGAAGGCCATTTCTGTGTTGTCGTTGGTGTACATGTGTGTTCTCCATCTGTCAGCACGTGAACCAAACGAAGACGGCTGAGCTCTGCCGGCCGCCAGCCGGGGTGGCCGCGTTCCTTCCCTTCTCTGTGCTGGGCTCCCTTCCTGAGGGGCAGCGCTCCAGGAGGAGTGTCCCGAGTGAAACCAGGCCCAGGGTGCCTCCTCCGGTTCATGAAAGAAGCCATTAGCAACTTTAAATGTGTGGCTGTAGAGAGAAGCACTCCTTTAGTGCTGCTTATTTTCCGTGTGTGTAAATAAATCTGACATATTTTTGAAAACAATCTGCTTTCAAATGTAACTTGTTTCGGAAGCAGGGAAAGTCACTCCAGGCGCATCTCTGGCAGCCACTCACACAGGCTGCTCAGCCACAAGCCCCCGGGTGCCCAGCCTGGTCAGTGGCTCGACTGCATGGATGTGGGGACAGCCTGCCTTTGCGGCCCCCCCAGTTCAGGCTTGTTGGGGATTTGAGGAGAGCGCAGACGGCCTGACCCGTTCGCTTTCATCTGTTGCTAGACCAGCGAGGCCTCAAAAGTGACACGATGAGGTAGAGGAGTGGAGTCCTGCGATAATCCCTTTTCTGTTTCTGCTTCTAGATGGTGAGAAGTCTAAAAGAAGCACAGCAGATTCAAAGGTGGGAACTAACCACTCACTAAATTTGTGCTCAGATCTTCTGGGTGTGTGCGTGTAATCATATATATAGGAACGTCCAGGCCTGCTCCCCCCATCTCTCTCTCTCTCTCTCTCTCTCACACACACACACACACACACACAGCAGTTGTAAGCAGGCTCAGATAATGAGGGGAGGGGGGAGCCGAGCCTCTGGAAGGAGGGTTACCAGGCCTGAGCCCAGAGTCAGTGGATCTGTTTGGAGAAGAGAATGGCACAGGCAGGGAATAGCATGATGGTCTAGGGTACTGCCTGCTTTGAAGCCAGTCTGCATTTTTGGGAGCTGAGCAGGGGCTCTTAGGTAACTGGGTGCCGGGCAGAAGGGGGTGTTGGTGCATAGGGAGCTGGCGACCAGGACGGCCGGCCGTCAGGTTGTGAGCTAGTGCGACACACATTTTAACGGACATACAGAAGACTGTACGTGTTTAAAGTGAACATACCCTCACTCTGGAAGTTTTTCCTGCCCCTTTGCCATCCGCCTGCCCCTTAGCTACCACTGACCTGTCATGACAGGTTAGTTTTGTAGAACTTTGCACAGATGCATTCTGCAGAACCTGCTCCTTTCTGTCTCCTGGAACTCAGGGTGTGGTTTAGAGCTCACCCCCGTTGCTGGGGATGTCAGTAGTAGTTCACTCCTGTTCGTTGCTGAATAGTGTTCTGGGGCACCCGGGCAGGATGTGAAGCGTTTGAAATCGGGGTTGGAGCTTAGTGGTAGGTGTGTCCGGTGCGACTGGGTTGGTGTGCTCGGTCTTGCTGAGTCGTAGCCTGGAGAAGCAGTGGCAGGAAGAGGGGAGGCTGGGAACAGGGGCAGAGGGGAGGCAGAATTACAGCTGAGAAGAGGAAGTAGGGGAGGAACTACCACTCTTTCCTCTTTGAGAGGGTTTCAAACTTCTTGAAAGAGTGTTTGAAATCAGAGTGTTCTGGAAGGCCAGCAAGTTGAGGCTTTAAAGAGAGCTGTTTTTATGTTTGAATTTTAATTAGCCTGCTTTTCCTTCCCATTTTATTCTAAAATAGAATGTTCTATCTTTCTAGGCACTGGGAGAGAAATCCTTCTCTATTCACACTAGTAATGGGGCAGTTTCCTTTCAGGTATGTATTTTCTTGGAATAAAGCTCCACAAAATTTCTGCTTACCATGTAAAAGGGTGGTTTTGTGATGGGGTCTTGCATCCAGGAGTAGCATGCTTCTGCAGGCCCTTCTAAGCACTGGACCGCAGCAGGTTTCTGGGCGTGCTTCAGGGTGCCCCTCGCTGCCCACCCCGACCAGGTCAGGAGATTCTGAGAGGGAGTAGCTCGTGGGTGTCCTTGTGAATAATTGGCTAGACCCAGATTCCAGCCCAGTTCTGTCTGGCTGTCCTCACCACGCCCCTCATTGAGAATGTGCCAGAAGCACCTAGTTCCATTTTCGGCACGTGTTCGCGGAGGCGAGGCCTCAGTGACCTCCAGCCCTCCCCTGTACCGCACGAGTTCGCCCAGAAGCCAGACAGCCCAACAACTTCCTCCTTCAAGTCTTTGCTCAGGTGTAGACCGTCTCTCCAGAGCTGCTGCCACGTGCCCTGCTCTGCCTTTGCCCTCGGCGCGCCCCCTTTCCAGCCCCGGGAGCCCCGAGCAGTCCCGTGTTTGTGGGCTGCCTTCCTTCGCGTGGTGGCCGTGGCGGCAGGGACATTCGCTGCCGTGCCTGGCATGTGTGCGTGCCGCGCGGGGCCACGCAGCGGGCCAGCTGTCAGCGATGGGGGCAGCTGGTGGGCGCGGGGGGGCCCAGGTTCGTCCTGCCAGCGGCCCTGGCAGTGGGCGTTCTCCTTTCACCCATGAGGAGACTGGGCTCAAGTAACGTGGTTTGCACGCGGTCGCGCTGCCTCCGAGGCCTGGCGCTGAGCCGCCCTGCTTCCCCACCTCCCTGCGGAGGTCCTGGCGCTCGCTGGGCGGCGCTCCTGCCCGCCCGCCCGCGTGGCCGCGGGTGTCTCCTTTCCCTTTTCCTAGTAAGTCTTTTCTCTTAAAATACACGTATAAAGCTTGTTAGTAAAATCCGTTTCTTAAGAATGTGTGAAGTCCGAGGCGAGCCGCAGGGCAGACGGCCACCACTGCCCTCCAAGCGGGGGGCTGGCTCCCCCGCTCCCACCCTGCGGCACGGCGGGCTCTCTGCTGCTCCCCTCAGCTCCCTCCCACTTCTGGATGGTGCGGTCATTTCTTTTCCACCCAGCGGGCTCCCGGTTCGTCCACCCCGAGGCCGGAAGGCACCGTCGGGGCCCAGCCCAGCTCTCAACTGTACATTCTGGGGTTTTGGTTTGTTCCTCCAAGCCAGGTGCGACTCTGCTTGGTGTTTGTTGACTTGGGAGGTGCGTGTCTTAGCATTGTCACACGGTCTTACTTTGGCTGAAGTTGACGGGTGAGTTTGGAAGCGTTTCCTTCCCCGCCTGTCCTCTGGACGGGAGCACCTTCACATTGACAGCGCGAGTCGCGTCAAAGATGGCGACTTCAGCCTGAGGAGTCCTGGCTTCTATTTGCATCTTCTTGTTACAGCTCTCCGTCCTCCCCACCCCATCCCTCTTTTTTTAAGTATTTATTGATTTTATTACGCAAATTCAGAGTTTTATATAAAGTATTTTTCATTTTTTTAAATAAATATAATAGTTTATTTTTACATCATTTTGTACATTTTTTTTTTCATCTCAATTGTAATCCCCGCGGGTTTCCCATCACCAAGTCACCCGTGTGCCATCACCATAATCCCGTGCACTTCCCTCCCCCACCCCCACCCTGTTTGATCCCATTCCCCACTCCACCCCCACAAAATGTCTCTGGTATATGGCTGTTCATTATTATTTTCTCGCCTGGTCCATTATACTCCTGCTATGAGCGAAACCATCCGGTATTTTTCTTTCTCTTTCTGGCTTATCTCACTAAGCGTGATCTTTTCCAGCTCCATCCAAGTTGCTGAGTAATATTCCATTGTGTATATGGACCAGATCTTTTTAATCCAGTCATCTACTTCTGGGCATTTGGGCTGCTTCCATGTTTTTCCGATGGTAAATAAAGCAGCAGTAAACATGGGCCCACCCCCTTCCTTTTAAGTTGTGAGGTACAGAGACTGTGAGGAAGGGGGTGTGTATAATTGTATTTGTCGGGCACAAGTAGTCATAAATACCACCTTCGGAGCCATGACCTGGGGCAAGAAGGAGCTAGACCCCAGGGGCCCTGCACGCCCTCCCCACCCCAGTTGGCCTGTGAGGAGGTGTTGGCGCCTCACCCTGACGCTGGCGCCCTGTCCTCACCTTTCTCTGTAGTTCGCTGTCTGTGTCTAGAGGCCTGAACGCCACACGCGAGGCAGTCTTCTTTCTTTTTCCTCATTCACTTATTTGTTTATTTTTAATGGTCTTTTTTTACTGCTTGTAACAAATCCCTAGAAGTGACTAGAGCCCTAGCCGTGACCTACATGAGTATGTATGTGTCACTGGAACATGTGAGAAGCGAACACCACAAAAACAGCCGGGTAGGTGCAGGCACGGGGCGGGGGTTGGGCCAGCCTGCGCCCTTTCAGCTCCCTGATGGGCCCCTGTCTGCCTCAGGAAGGCTTTTTACCTGAAGGGCAAAATTACACGTTGGCTTGGAAACTGGATGAGTGCGTCTGGCCGCCCCCAGGAGGCGTGTGGGGGGATGTGTGATGCGGCGCGTGAGGTGGGGCGCCGCTCGCTTGTGGGCCGAGGGCAGGGTGGGAGCCGGCTGCTGTGCGTCCTGCCAGCCTCCCGCGGAAGTGCACGTCGGGAGGGAGTCAGAAGTAAGGACACATCTGTGTAAGTTCTGCTCTGGGAGAATTTCGTTGGGGGTTTTTCTTCTGTGCAGTGTCTTGAGCGTCTCTTAGACTTCCAAATGGAGTCCGGGATCGCGTGCGCTGACCTTCCCTTCTCTGCTTTCAGTTTTCCTTTAACATCAGCACCAACGACCAGGAAGGGCTCTACAGCCTCTATTTCCATAACTGCCCCCGAAGTGAGATGCAGCCCAGTGACAAGTTCTCATTCAGCCTGGATGTGAGTACCGTGCACCCCCCGCCCTGGGTTTGTTAGCTGCGTAGAGGCGACACATTTCTTTATAAGAAAAAGTTTATTTTTATCATTTTTTAAAAATTTATTTATACATCTAAGAACTGGGGTACAGGCCAGAGGTGCAGGGGTGAGAGGATGCACCAGAGGCAGTGGGAGCGAGCAGGTGGATCGACTGCCATCCACTGCTGAGGGAGCATCAGGGAGAGGGAGAGCTCTGCTGGCGGATGGCTTGATAGCGCCACCGGGCCGGCCCGAGGGAAGGAAATGTCTCGAGAACACTAAGCCGAGTAAGAGAAGGTGGGGCTGGGGGCCTCCCCGCCCCTGGCATGGCGCTCCACGCAGCTCCACGAGCCAGGGACCGTAAAGCCACTCGGGGCACGCTTGTGCTTCAGCTGCGCCTTCAGGATGTGCACGTCACCCGCTGGCGCTCACGTTCCGGCGCTTACGAGAAACAGCGAAGACTGGTCTGGTCTGGTGTGATCTGTTCCTGGAAAGTAAAAACCATTTTGTGTTGGTTTCAGATTGACATCACGGAGAAGAATCCTGACAGCTACCTCTCAGCAGGAGAAATTCCTCTCCCTAAACTGTACATCTCGATGGCTTTTTTCTTTTTCCTTTCTGGGACCATCTGGATTCATGTCCTTCGAAAACGACGGTACGTCACCGCCTCGCCTCTTCCACTCGAGCACCTCGAGCTTTCTGTCCTTTCGCCTTTTTCTGATGCCTCGGGCCAGCACTCACCTTCTCGTTCTCTTCAGAGGGCGTCTTCCCCGGATCATTGGGTCCGGGCAGGGCCTCGAGGAGGCCTTTCCTCATCTTCCTGTCCATTGCCATTGCTTTTCCCCAAAAGCAAATCCAGATATTTCAGTAGCACGCGAGCCAAGTGCCGCGTGGAAGCCAAGTATAGCATGGGGACCCGCCGATGCAGGCTCAGAGAGAACGCGCTGGCCCTCAAGGGCTGTTTGTCCCCACGGCCCCGCCCGGGAGAGAGCACGGCTGCTGTTAGCCCTGCGGAGCCAGCTCAGGCTGCTGGAGTGGGCACTGGCCCGAGGGCTTGTCACTGGAGAAGCTCGCCTCTTCACAGCCGCCTCCCTGGCTCCTGGCCCCTTCAGAATCCTCTGAGGCTTCAGCTCCTGGGCTGGCTTCTCCAGCGGCTGCTGCACGTGTGCAGACCTAGTGCTTCACTAACGCGCTGTCGCCCTCCCAAGAAAGTTGAGAACAGAACAGTAATTTTCAGCTTGGGCATAGCATCAGGCATTTGCTGTATTTTAGGGCCTGTAAACTGGCTGCTGGCCTGTGAATGTCACATTGTTCTTACAGCTTGATTTAAATTCATACCATAAGTAACCCCCACTACCAGTGACCTCTTCCTGGGAGCACTGGGGTGGGTCCCCGGGCCGATCTGTCTGCTGGTGGGTGTGCGCCGCGGGGGTGTGGGGCTGGCCGGGCCGGGGCCGGGCCCATTGGCTGATGTCCTCTGCAGCCCAGGTGGAGGGGCATCTGGTGCCTTGTGAAGGACCTTATGCGATTGTGTTTGGGCCGGAGAGTCAGGCCGCTGTGAATAAGAACTGTCTCTTACAAATCAAGTCTGTGAAAAGGTTTTATCAAACAAAGAGTTGCTTTGCCTTGCTTGGAAAGCCGCCCGCGTCCTGTCCTCCGCCCTGTGCTGGGGCAGTGGCGCGGCCCTGTGAGCCTCCGTCCGAGCTCCTGGGTGGACCTGCGCATCCCTCGGAATAACAGCTTTGCAAGTCAGGGTGCTGTGCACTCTCAGGGCCCACACAAGTGGCAGCTCGCTGGCCAGGTGCTCGCTGGCCGGCGCATTAGTTCCATTATTTAGTGGCTCAGCAGGCGCTGGCCGTCCACTTTACAGAATGTGGCGCCAGCTTAAAATTTGTGCTTTAAGGGGCTGATGTATTTTGCACACCTTTTTGACTTCCTGTTGAAGTGGGGTGTGCCTACAGAAATGTACCCTTTCAGCCCGTCACCCCTTCCCTATGTATTTCTAGGAGTCCTAGCTGGTTCTGTTGGGGATTTGGACCAAGGGCGCATCAAGGACATGCCTGCCAGACTGCCAGGGAAGCTGGTAGCCTCTGGAGCTGGAAGGAAGCGAAAGAATTTGGCCTCCTTTTATTGAGCCTTGAATGGGGGAAGTGAGAGGCAGGCCTGGTCAGCTGACAGAGCTGGAACCCACATCCCCTGCTCCCTGGGCCCCAGAGCGAGGGGTGGGGTGGGCGTGGGGCGGGGTGGAGGGGGGATGGCATCTGCTGGCTCTGCCCAGTCGGGCTTTTCCTGTCACTCAGTTCAGCTAATGGCCAGCTCCTCCCTTGGGTGCGGCCTGTTTCCTGCCGAGGTTCCTGGGCCTCGAGGTTCAGGGCCCCGGGTCCAGGCTGGCTGTGGCTTCCAGCGCTCCCGTCCTCGCAGCGCCACCCAGTGTCCGTGCCGAACTGGGGCTGTGGGGCTTGTGGCCCCGGTGTGAGTGAACCCAGCCCTGCCCGAGGGGGTTTCTGTGCTTTGGGGAATCTCCAGGTCGCTCAATGTCAGGCTGTTCTGGCCGTGACGCCTTCACGCAGGCACTGGACAGGAAAGCACTGGCAGGAAATGGTGAGGAAATGGGCCGGGAAGCTGAGTGTGCCGCAGCCGACGACACAGGCGCCTCATCTGCCATGCCCCCCAGTATCCTGTCACCGCTCCTCCCCTGCCATTGCTCGCCAGCGGCCAGGGGGCGAAGGCGGGTTCCGGACGCCCGCGTGTGCGCTGCTGCCGTTGCCCTGCGCTCTGGGTGGTCCGGGCTGCGCTGCAGCCTCTGCCGCTCGCGGGTGTGCGTACTTTCCATGCAGCGGCGTCTCTGGGGCCGCAGCCCCACCACTGTGTTGGCGTCTGGTCCTGACTGGGCCCCGGGGTAGCGGCCCACGTGCAGGTGCCCGAGCCCTCACGGGGCCTCGATTGACTCTGCCCTCTGCTCCCCAGACAGTGCTGCATGGCTCTCTCCTGCTTGCTGTGCTCCTAGAGATGTGCTGGGTACGGGGGTGGGGTGCTGGGTGCTCTCCGGAGAGCCTGCCTCCTCCTCGCTGCTCCTGTGGTGGGCCCTGTGAGCCTGCACTCTCGCCCCGCTGACGAGCTGTCTCACTGACCTGTGGCTGTCACGAGTGGGCAAACCTCTTTCCTTTAATGGAGTCAGCTGTCTAATGCTAGCCCCTTGGACATTGCCTCTTGCCTCTTCAGCAGCCCTTTTCTGCTCCGAGGTGGCAGTGTGTCACCTTTAACGGCCGGCGTGGCGTGGCGTGGCGTGGCGTGGCGACCGGCTCTGCTCCCTGCAGGCTCACGCTGAGTGTGCCACAGCCCTCGGCCTCTCTGCACAGGTCTCCTCCTGTCTGAGGCCCCTGGGCTGCTCTCTGTGCTGCTGGCCCGATGGCCTGTGCACCCCCCATGACTGGCGGGGTCTTCACGGTGGAGGGCGAGCGTTGCCTCATCTGCTCCCGTGCTTTGTGCTGTCGCTAGAGTCACGGCCTTCTCTGGTGGTCTCGCATGTCCTGTCAGGTTCGTTCCACACAGGCAAGGGCAGGTGGTTTAATGCTGGGTGAAAGGGGGACCCAACTCTCTAGAGGCGGCAGAGGGGCTGCATCCTGCTGGCCTGGGGTGTTCGGTGGATCCACCCATGAACAGCGCCACCCTGCAGCCCCTCCTGGCTGCAGAGGGCCCTCGGGTGGGCCTCAGGGCTGGCGTCCCCAGGCCCATAGCTCTCGTGGTCTGCGCGTCCTCGCTTGCGCGTCACATCCTCCCAGTGATACGCTGGGGGTGCTTTAGGGCTCCGCTGGAAACCTTCTTACCTGTAGAAACTTCTAAAACATTTTGTAAGAAAGCACAAAAGGCAGCAGGCCCTGGTGCTGCCTGCTCCCTGGGGATGCGTGGGACTCCCGCTGTGCTTTGGGAACCTGGGAAGCGCCTTTAATTACTTTCTCTCTGTGCCCTTAGGAATGATGTCTTTAAAATTCACTGGTTGATGGCTGCCCTCCCTTTCACCAAGTCGCTTTCGTTGGTGTTCCATGCGGTAAGTGCGATACTTCGGGGGCAGTGCAGGAAACGGCGTGCCCGTGTGGCGGGCAAAACCAGAGGCGTGATGGGTTATGGGGCGGGAGCCGTGAGAGGGTGCCGTTCCCGTGAAGCCACCAGCTGGCATGGGCACATCGCCACCGCTCCCCACGCCAGCCCTAGACCGTTTCTGGTGCCCCCACAGACCTGGCGCCCCCCCAGTCTGTGTCTGTGGTAGGAAGATTGATTATTTTTCTTATTTCTTGAGAATAGAGTGCCACCTAGTGAACTGACCCTCGCGCTTCTGTATTTTCTAAATCCTCCCTCATGTTCCGTCTGATTGAGGTCAGAATTCATTTCTCTTACTTGAGGAAGCGGGCGCTCTAGAGAGTGAGGCATAGGGCCAGCACGTGCGCTCTGCCTGTGTGGTCCCTGGGAGCGAGGCCACGGCTCCCCCAACTTGTCTCCCGGAGCACACTCGCGAGGGTCAGCTCCAGAGGCAGGCCCCCTCCTGCACCTCAGGGTGTGCTGGGGGGATGGTGTGTCCAGCCGCGGCCGCAGGGGCCGGTGGGTGTTCAGACAACTCCCCGTTCAGAGCTCAGTGACGAGACTCTGGAACCGTGTTGATAAGGAGCACGGGGCGTCCTCGGTGCCCTTTGTGAGAGCAGGGCAAACTGAACAGTCGGGCCTCGCCTCGCCGGGCAGCCGAAGCCTGTTCAGTGAGGCACCTTGGCGCCTCCAGGAGCCCGGACCCTGCGGGTGGTTTTCAGAGAAGCTTGTTGAGCCGGGTGACCCCACCCAGGTTTTTCACTGACCTGCTGTGGGCTGCAGGGTGGGGTGGACGCAGTGCCCGCCAGGGCCCTGAGGAGACCCATGGCGGGACATGGGCATTTATGTGAGAAGCACGCGAGCCTCCTGCCCCCAGGGACAGTAGTGACTGAGCCTGCCGCCGGGTGCCTCAGCACCCTGGCATGCCCACGGCTCACGCTTGACTGTTTGCACACGGGGAGGCTCCAGGTCCCGCTCGTGGGGCCTCAGGCGGCGCGTGGGCCCTCACCTTCTGAAATCCGCTGTTGGTTGCAGATCGACTACCACTACATCTCCTCCCAGGGCTTCCCCATCGAGGGCTGGGCTGTCGTCTACTACATCACTCACCTGTAAGTGCGCCCCGTGCCCTGAGGACGCCGCACTGGCAGCCTTCGGGGAGTGGGCGGGAAGAGGCCTGCCCTGGGGGTGGCCCCACCCTCCCTGGCTGGCCAAGGCCTGGTGCCCTGGTAGTTGACCTCCTTCCTGTGAGGGGTGGCTCCCTGCGGGGATGGGCTGTTCAGGTCTTGGGTGTAGAGCTGTTTGGTGCCCAGAATGAAGTGCTGCCCGCTTCAGGTATCCCTGCCTTGTAGGGGCAGCATGGGGGTGTGAGCACTTCTCGCAGGAGGGCTGGAGAGCCCGCTGCATCCAGGCCGTCTTCTCTCTTCCAGCCTGAAGGGGGCGCTGCTCTTCATCACCATCGCGCTCATCGGCACCGGCTGGGCCTTCATCAAGCACATCCTTTCCGACAAAGACAAGAAGATCTTCATGATCGTCATCCCGCTCCAGGTACAGGACTCTGACCTGCTGGTCCTGCGCTGTCTGGGCGCTCAGCGGCTCCAGGCTGGTCTAGGAAGAGGGAGTGACGGCACCGAAACCCCAGCTGTGGCCGTGGGGGATTGAAGACTGAGGATCTGACTCTGACTGAGTGGACGCCGGTTGCGGGGTGGCGGGGTGGAGGAGAGGGGCTTAACCCCCAGTCATCTTTTAGCGGGCAGGTGGACACCCATGTTAGTGGAGAGCTGCTGAAAACTGGGGGTGCCTGCAGCCTGCCTCCTGGGCCCATTTGTCCTATGACATAGCGTCCTCTGAGCAAACAGGCTGAGGTATTCGTGGTGATTTTATAACAAATTATTTTAATACTGAATGATACCAGTGAGTTTACACATGGAAGAATATTAAGTAGATGCCGGGCAGACATTTGTTCCAGCCTTCCTGGGGGGCCCTAGCTGTGGCTGCCTCACCTGGCCTCGGGCCTCGGGAGAGGAGCCTCGTCTCCTGTAGAACAGTCTGGATGGAGGCAGAGTGTGGAGAACTCACACAGACAAGCCTGTGCGCTCTGCTTGGCCAAAGCACATCTGTCTGGTGAAGTTCACGTTGGCTGTTCTCACCTGGAGTGGGGCGAGGGCGAGGCGGGCCTCAGCTCAGGCCTCAGCTCAGCCCGCTCAGCTTCGGAGACAGCGGGCCCACGCGTGCAGCACAGCCACGTGTCTCAGCAGGGGCATGTCGGGGGGTAGTGTCGGGTCATCACCCAGGTAGAGAATCTGGACAGAAATGTTGGTAAAAATGGGTGTTGGCTGGGGCGGAGGCCAAGGGGCATAGCAGAGACAAGGGTACCTTTTGTGGTGTGTGGCCAGGATACCAAGGAACTGGGGGTCCCACCTGCGGAGCCGAAGCTGGCTGACTTACTGGCCATCACCATTTCTTCCCTCACGCTGTCTTCTAGTCAGGAATTTGGGAGCAGCTTAACTGGGAGCTTCTGCGTTGTCTCCTGAGCTGGGAGCGTGGGAAGCCCCCTCCACCCGCCCCTGCCCGTCATCTCCCCACCCCCCACCCTCCCTGTCTGCAGTTGCTGCCTCACTGTCTTCACTAGGAGGTGCAGGCCCTCAAAGCCGTGTGTCCCAGGAGGGCGCAGGTAGAGCAGCCTCCTGTCTGCCCTGCCGTGCAGGCCCGAGGACACGCAGGCTGCTGCTTTTGGGGCGGGGGGCGAGTCTGCCGGGGCTCGCCGTCTGGAAGCCGTGCCGTGGCCCTAGGGTGAGGCCCGCCCTGCTCTGGGCCTCCCGCCTCTCATGTCCCACAGGTCCTCGCCAACGTGGCCTACATCATCATAGAGTCCACCGAGGCGGGCACCACGGAGTACAGCCTGTGGAAGGACTCCCTCTTCCTGGTCGACCTGCTGTGCTGTGGAGCCATCCTCTTCCCAGTGGTGTGGTGAGTCCACCTCCCCTCGCTAACACCGCCCTTCCCCGCCTGGCCGACTCACCTGTTAACAGCCCAGCTTCTGGGGCCCAGACTGACCCGAGTCTGATCCAGGCCCAGGCCCCTGGAGTCTGTGTCCTTGTCAGGTCCCCCGGGTCCTGTAGAGCTAGTCTGGCACCAAGGCTGGCAGCGCAGACAGGAAGAGTCTGGAAATGGGCACTTGGTAGCAGTGTAAAATAGCGCATGAGCTGGAAGGGAGCGCGCTGAAGAAGTCCTGTAAACAGCCTTTCTTGCCCAGCCCACTGGAAGGTGAGCAGGCGTGTGGACCTAGGCTCACGCAGGTTCAGACCGTCTCTCCTCTGGCGCCTTTGGGCTCTCCTGGGCCCCCGTCTGCGCCATCTTGTGTAACGTCCCGCTCGCCTGCCCGAGCTGTAAGAACAGTGACGAGCTGGCGGCACCTCAGCCAGAAGCGACCTTCTGGGAGGCCCCGCCAGCCTGGATCGGCCAGGCTAGAGCTCTCCAAGGTGTGAAATGTCAGCTTTGCAGGGAGCCATAGGCCCACGTGCTAGACCCGAGAGCTGACAGAGGTCTGCTGTGGCCTTCTTGCGGGGTCCGCCCTCTCCAGGGTGCCGGAGCTCAGTGAGGCTCGGGGGCCTCTGGGTGGTGTGTGGCACAGAGGTGGGTGAGCAGGATCCTGCTTCTTGGTTTGTGTTCTCCTTAGCTGGGCCCCCGTTTTGGTCAGACAGACGTGGCCAGCAGAGGGAGGCTCTCGAGTCTGGGCCCGAGGTGCTGCCCCAAAAGCCGCCCTCCGGGTGGCTCAGCAGCGTCTGGTCTGACTCCTGCCGTGATCAGCAGGGGATAGCAGGCTGCAAGTCGGGCGCAGTGCACCGTATGCAGACTGCTAGCTAATCTTTTGTTTTCTGAATGTTTTATTTTTAGGTCCATCAGACATTTACAAGAAGCTTCGGCAACAGACGGGAAAGGCAAGTCCCTTTTCTTTGTCTGAATCCCAGGACCTCCTGGGAGCTAGAGGGGGCTCAGGGCTTGGAGGCCGGGGGTGCAGAGGCAGATGTTGCGTGTCGGGGAGATTGCTTGTCTGTGGGGGCGTGGCGTCCGTGGCTGACTCGCGGCGGTCCCACCTGTGAGCCTGCTTTTCCCCTTTGCAAACTGAGTCAGGAGGAGAAGCCACATCTCGGAGGGCCAGGCCGTGCCTCACCGTGACGGGAGCTGTTGCGTGTGGATCGGGCTGGCTGCACCGAGCTCCCCTCCTGCTGATATAACGCGCTTCCAAACTACGCGTGTTGGGTCACTAAGAGCGAGGCGGGCGCCACAGAGCACCTTTCAGGCCCCGAGTTCTCCGTGGCAGTGCCACGGTGCCCTTTCTGCTGCTTGACTTTTCCAGCCTTGTTTGCGGGTCAGAAAAGAAACCTCCCCGCATGCTTGTGAGTTTCTGGACCTATGGGAACACTGCCCTCAGTCACGGGCCGCTGTGGCCCATGGGTGTTTCGGAACTGGGGTGGGGAGCAGTGCACTTGGGGGCTGGAGCTGCCTCGGGACCCCTCAAGTCACCCACCTGCAGCTAGTCAGTTCTCAAGGGCCACTCAGGCCGTCGCTGGTAAAGTCACGTGGATTCACCTTAGAAAATTTGGAAGATGGGGCCCTTCCTGGTGGTGCAGGGGTTAAGACGCAGCACTGTGACCTGTCTGCAGCCACTGCAGCACGAGTTCAGTCCCCCGCCAGGGAGCGGCCAGGGCCCAGCAGGCCTCTCCTGCCTCCTGCTGCCCCCCTCAGCAGTGGGTTTCAGTGGATCCGCCTGTTCTGCTCCCCACTCTGTCTCTGGGGAGTCCTCTTACCCTGTACCTCTGGCCCACACCCAGCTCTTGTAGGTGTAAATAAATAAAAAAAAAAAGAAAGCAAACCTGGAAGCTGGCGGTAGGTGGCCACTGTGTCACGCTTTCCCCAGCGCTGCCACCACGCCGCTGTCTTCATGCGGAAGGGAACCTGACTTAAGGCTCCGTGCCGGTGCCAGGCACGGCCCTATGTTCCCACCTAAAAAGAATAGTGTTTGGGGGACCGTGGGCAGCCTGGTGCCCGAGGTCCGGCCGAGGCTGCGGGCGCTGCCGACACCGGCCCCCAGGCCCCAGCTTCAAGCGCGGCCGAGGCCCCGCCTGCTCGGTTTCCTTCGGGGCCTGGGGGTTGGCTCCTTTCTGGGTTCTCTTTTTCCTTCAAAGGCACCTGCCCCCCACCCCCCTTAGAATGCCCTCTGCAGTGAATTCTCAGCGAGGGGGGTTCAGGTGGGAGCCGGCTTGCAGGGAACTCAGGCGCCTCCCGCCTTCACGGGCCGGGGTGCCGGCAGCCATGCAGGGCCAGAATTCAGCAGGCGCCGTGCCGCAGAGCGGAGACGCCGAGGGAGAGAACAGGCCGGTCTCCGGGAATAGTCTTTATTGGGGCACAGTCTCGTCTGTCCCCCACCCCTTCTGGGCACGTCATGTGAGAAGCTGGTTTTATTTTTGTAGCTCCGTGAATACTTTGGTCTTACCCTAACACACCGACAGAGATGTTTAACTGATGATGTTAATACTTCACCTGCTTCTGCATGTCTGGATTTGTTTTCTATTTAACCAAAAATGTTTACAATCCCCAAGGACAGTGTTTCCACTGCTGGCTTTGATCTGCTGTTCGTGTTGGCCTTCTTCCTCCCGTGGACCCTCCTGGCCGTCAGAGGGTGGGGGTGACCATGGTATGTCTCTGCCGACTTTGTGAGACACCCACAGAGACACTGACCCTAGGAGAGTCTCCGATTGGGAGGTAGCGTAGCCGGTAAAGGCCGAGGTGGGGTCCTGAATCCCCCAGCATCTGGAACGTGAAGACACCCAGGGCAGCTGGCCCTCGCGGCCTGGCCTGAGGAGGCAGGTCCTTGTTCTCCCACAAGGTGGCAGCATGGCGCCTTCTCCCAGCACAGCTTTGAACTCCGCAGGTCCCTGCACTGGGGCGCTGCTTCACCATTGTGGGGGAAATTTTCAGGAGAGTACACATTTCTCCTCAGCAAATGCAGACCCTTTGGAAGGGGGGCACAGGTTCAATGGGGGTGTCTTTTTTTTCTGAAGATTTTTTTATGCATGCAAGAGCTGGGGTGTAGGCCAGAGGTATAGGGGGATGAGAGAAATCACCAGAGACAGAGTGGGGGGCAGAACAGGCAGATCCACTGAAATCCACTGCCGAGGGTTGCAGCGGGGAGACAGGAGGGGTCTGCTGCATGTGCCCTGTGGGTCACTCCCTGGCCAGGATGGAACTCGTGCCGAGGTGTCTGGCGATAGCTTGATGGCGCTGACTCTGACCCCTGCGCTACAGGGAGGCCCTGGGGATGTCTTCTTGGTTCATGTTCTTCTCTGAATCAATTTTGACGATTTTGATGGAGGATGCTTTTTAGCTAATCTGCAAATGTGTATTTCACTCCAGAGCAGACCATGGTTGGTGACGTCAGTCAGGGCAGCCTGGTCACCCCGGCTGAAGGCTGTCTGCAGAGTGCTCAGGAGCGCAGGCACCCAGGGCCAGCCTCTCGTGGCTGCGCGTGGCCGGGCAGTGTGAGCAGCAGGGTTGCGCTGGCCGGTGCCTGCTGCTCAGCTTGCACCCCACTCCCTCCACGAGATCTCGCCCCTCGTGGGCACAGGCAAGAGCCTCTCTCGGATGTGGAGGCACTTTGCTGATGAGCCCTGGCGCTGCTTCCCTGCTCTCGGCTCATCGCTCCCCTGACTCGTTGCATGACCTTGACCGTGCCTTAGCTTCCAGAATCCCAGTTTCCTCGCAGTCTGGGCTGGCAGCCATGACGGGGGTGTCTGTGGCTCTTCTGCCAGGGATCGCAGGCGGCCTCCGGGCCTGCTTCCCTGACTGAACCTGAGGTCTGAAGGAAGGCAGGAGGGGCGAGGCTCCCCACTCCCCTTAAGTCTTCTTTTTCACTCTGTCACGCATTGCGGCTTTCCAGGGCCTGTCACTGCTGCGCTGTCCCGGGGAGGAGCCCGCCGGGCCTGGGCGCGCCATCTTTAGTTGGGTGCGGCTGGCTCTGGGCTGCGTCTGTGCGCCGCCTCCTGGTCCTCTGGCGCCTGCTCTCCCCAGGGCGGCGGGCTCTGGCTCTGTGCTGTTGCGCTAAGAGTCGCTCTCTGGTCACCTTTCCCCTGTGTTTCTGAGGAAAACCCGAGGAGTGTCCGCAGCGCCTTCTGTTAGGTGAGCTCCAGAAGCACTGCAGTGACTGCAGGCTGCGGGCAGGGAGGAGGGCGTCCGTCCGCGGCCCAGGACGGCGGCCTGGAGGGTGTCCGCCAGCACGGCGCGCCGGAGACTTTGCTGCCGCGACCCCGCGTGTCGCCGTGCTGCCCGGAGCGCCGTGGGGCAGAGGCAGAGGCGGCCCCGCGGCGGAGCGAGCAGGCCGTGCTCAGACGGCGTCAGTGTCCTTTGCCCTCTTCACGGGACCCGCCTCTGGGAGCACAGCCCCGCGCGGCCCCGAGCCGTCCTAGCAGAAAGCCATCAAAAGTAGGCCAAGCTTTCGGGGAAGAAAAGCAAAGGCGATGGGGTGCTTGGCCGGCCCTCAGGCCCCGCGCTCACTCACTGCCCGAGGCTGGAACAGCGCCACCCCCACCCCCGGGGCCAGTCCCGTCTGCTCTGCTGACCGCCTCATGAAGAGCAAGGCCACAATGCATGCAGGTGACCCCAGGGTCTCGGTGCCCCCAGGCTGCCCCGTCCAGCGTCACCCCCAAGGTACAGTGCAGCAGAGGTGGTGGGCCCTGTGTGCACTCGGCCTTGGCTTGGTGCTGTGCCACCTGGCGGCACCCAGCGCCTGTCTCCACTCCCAGCCACCCTCCAGCCAGGTGCCGTTCTGTTACCTGTGAAGAAACTCAGGCCCAGAGAGGTTAGGCTGCCTTCGAGGGGCCCCACAGCCAGAAGGCAGCAGAGATGGAGCCCAAGGTGTGCAGGCTTTCAGGCCTGCAGGGCTACCGAGGGCTGTGCTCACGCCCCAGGCGGGCACCTTTGCCCTCCTGCTGCCCTGGGGCTGGAATGTGTGTGGGTCCCGAGCCGGGCCTGTGGCAGCCGTCTAGTCTCACCAGCAGATGTCCTGCACCGCCTGAGCTTAGCTGCTTGAGGCCGTTTTTCTTAGTGATGCGGCATCTGTGGAGCCTTGCTGACTGAAGTGGGGGCGCGGCCCTCTCCCCTTGGGCATCTCACTGCCAGTGGGAGGAGGGGCTTGGTGCCTGGCGCAGGGAGCTGCCCTTACTCCCTCGGCTGTCCTGTGGCCTGTCCCTCTGGGGGCTGCTGTGCCCCAGCCGGTTTTCTCTCAGTCAGCCCCTCCCTCTACCCTCCAGCGCCTGCCCATCCTCCACTTTGCCTCACCCTCTCTGGGGTCAGGTCTGTGCTCTGGGAGGTTCTCTCCTCACCCAGCCCCTGCGGGGTGGGAGCCTTCTTTGGGCCTGATCTTGGTGGCCCCGCTGGTCCTGCCTGGCCTCCTGACATCTGTGGGGCTGCTGGTTCTTGGTGGAGCTGAGGCTCGGTTCCACCTGTCGGGACTGAATTACTACACTCTGGGAGCATTTATTATTTAAATGGTGTAACTTGTGAGGGGTGGTGCTGTGTTCCCAGTTTCGCTCAGTGAGTAGAACTGAAGTCCCGGTCTAGAACCAAGTAGTCGTTTGGAGCCCAAAGGCCACAGGTGCAGGCTTTGTGGGGTTCATCACACAATATCGGGCAATATCGGTGTGAACACTCCGGGAAACGCGGGTGGGCCCTGAGCCTTCCCACAGGCGAGGCTTCAAATCGGTGGTGCTCTCTCACTGACCCACCAGACCCTACCAGCCGGCTGGGGTCAGGTTTAGTCTCTCTCTGGCAGAAGCCACTCCTACTCGCCAGACGGGCAGTCACCTGGTCAGGGCGCCCAGTGCTGCTGTGTCTGGACTGGCCGGCCCCAGGCACACATCACCTGGCAGCGCTGCTGCAGCCTGGCCTGGCCCGGCCCAGGCCCCTGAGAGGCATGGGGGTGCCAGAGAGGGCGCAGGAAGGCCTTTGCTCATCTGCCCCTCGATTCAGCTTCTCAGCGTTGTTTGTGTACAAGAGTGAGCTCATTGGCACTCCCCTCTTGAGTTTGGGAGGTAGAATTTTCCGGAAGGAGTCCCTTGTGTCTCAGCTCCAGGATGCTTTTGGTTTCTGGAGCAGGTACACGCAGGCAGGCGCTGATGCTGGTGGCTGCTAATCACCTGGAAGGTGAGCCTAGGATTCCAGGGATTTCTGCGGAGTTCTCAGCTTGTTTGCCCCCTACTAATCTGGAGCCAGAGGAGGGAAGAAGAGGAAATTTGAACCTTCACCACCCACGGTCCCATTCTTAAACAGAGCCTGTAATTGAATGCTTTTAAGCAAAATTAATTTGCCTCCTGCTGGAAGGTTTATGATGAATGAAAGGATCGCTAATGGGGAGGGAGCCTGCTGCCTCTGTGGGCATCAATATTTCATGGCCAGAGGCAGCAGGAAGTTGAAGTTAGCAGGCTCCCTGACCTTGAGCAGCTGGGAAGGCAGGCTGTATTTAAAGGGCTCCTTACCAGCCCTGGGCAAAACCCAAGTGATGTCTGCAGGACGTATTGCTCGCTGAGTTTACAGCCCTAACCTGTGGGAGACTCCCTCAGAGGGGTTCAGGACCCTGCCTGAGATGGTCCTGTTACAGGACAGGGAGAGAGGGGCAACCCTGAAGCCCCAAACCTGCCTGCTCTAAGTGGGTTCTGCCATCCGTCGCGTCAAGACAAAACATATAAAACTTTGATGAAAAGGGACTTTAATGCAGTGAGTACACAATATGGAACACAAAGGATATAATGTCTAAATCAAACACCTGAAGTGACCCATCCCTTCGTGGGCAAAAGTCAGCCCAAAGGGACTGGCCCAAAGCGAGGCCTGAGAGCTGCCACGAGACTAAAGCACCTTGTGCTGGGACCCATGAAAAAGGGTCAGAAACGGCCAGACAAGTCTGGGAGGGAAAGAGCAAAGTCAATATAAACACGGCCACAGTCACCTCCCTGCAGGTCTCTCACCCACATCTGCCTTAACCAGTCCAGAGTCAGGAAACAAGCCCGGTTTCTCCATCACATGCTCGCTGCTCCATGTGGTTTCCTCAGGTCTCCTTCTGGCTCTCCACTCTGCCTCCTTCTTTTTCCTCTCTTCAGCTCCACCCTCCTTCTGGGTGGGGCGGGGAACCTGGAACTTCCCCTTTTCCTGGGGACCCCCCCATTACTGTCCCAGCTGGGCTTGCTGCTCCCTCAGCTCTGGCAGAGATGGAAGGTGTCAGGGATGGCTTGGGGAGGGGAGTGTTGCCTGACCTCTGGTGATCTCTGGTGTTAGCTCCAGCAGGGCCAGTCTCCACTGACCAGCCTGAGTAGAGAGTCCCCACAGCTCCCACACACTCCCCTTGGCTTCCTGGCCAAGGGGTGGCCCTGGAGCAGCTGCCTTTCCAGAAACTTCTGTCAGCCCCTGGGCAATACGTACCCACTTTAGATTTGGTCCCTTGACTGGAGGGGCCTGAATGTGGCCCCGAGAAGCTAATGAACCTTTTTTTTGATCTTTCTTCTCCTTAGCTGCTATTAACCTAGCGAAGCTGAAACTCTTCAGACATTATTATGTCCTGGTGAGTAAGAAAAACCCAAATTCTGTCAATAAACTCAAAGGAGCAGACAAGTGAACTCCCAGAGAATTGGTGAAAGCCCAGAGCTGAGTGGATTTCCTGTCCTAAAGTTAAAGCATTTCCCTGAATGTGGGAAGATAAATATCCGAGTTAGTTCTTTTTAATTGTTGGTTTTAAATGTGGCTTTAAATACTCATGCTTGATATTTCTCAATCTTCAGAGAGGGCAGGGGCCGTCTCTGGCCCTGACCGCTGCCCCTTCCCGCCTCCACCTGCTTCGCGGCCATCACCACAGCTCCAGCTCTTGGCCTGGATTCTGCTCTGGCCGCAAGCCACGCAGGTCACTGCTGCTTAGACTGGCTCTTTTAAATCTTGTTCAGAAATGGGGTCACACCTCAAGCAGGACTGGGCTGGAGTGGAATAGGCTGCTGAAGCACGTGCCAGCGCCAGGAGCAGGACTGGCAGGAGCTGGGGGGGTCGGGGTTTCTGGGCATCTGTAAGGCTCGGGCCTCCTGGGGTTCACCTCCGGACTCCTAAGCGAGCCCTCCACTGTCTGTGGCTTGGCCTTGACCATCACCTCGCACTTTTGGTGCTTGTTCTGCTCCCAGCGGGCCACCCTGGCAGGCGGCACGGAGAGCTGTGCCTGCTGCGGCCGGGTGTGCCAGGGGCCCGGGCGGCGGCCCCTGGACCGCTGACAGCACCCGCAGCAAAGACCCTAAGTCAGTGTCCCCAGGTGGAATAAACACGACCCGTTGGGACTGACACCCACGTGTTGGGGGAGGGGGTCGGAGCCCTTTGGGAGGTGCGGCAGCCACACCCACGGGTTCGGGCCTCCTGTGGGTGCGACTCTGCCAGCCTCTTGGTCTCGCCGAGGGCGAAGGCCCCTCGCAGTGTGCAGGCACAGCGCGGCCCGCGGCCTGCAGTGCGCGGGCGCTGCGGGTGCCAGCTTTCTCCGGGCACTGTGTTGGCTGGGAGGCAGGTCACTGCAGGACGCGCCTTCTGCCCCCCAGATCGTGTGCTACATCTACTGCACCAGGATCATCGCGTTTCTCCTCAAGCTGGCCGTCCCGTTCCAGTGGAAGTGGCTCTGCCAGGTGCGCGGGCTGCGGTCGACGGTCTCCAGGTTTGGCCACTGACCTAGCAGTGGCCGCTACGCCCCGCCTCGCTCTGGACCGCAGTAAACGCATCTGTCCTTTCCTTGGCTCAGGGCTCAGGAGCCTTCACAACCTGGAGCCCCCTTCTTCACCCGTCACCCCTGAAGGGTCTGCTGCCTAGGGTCGTGTTGCCCCTGGGGCAGGCGCCGTGTGACTGGGCTGTTTCTTGACAGTCTCACCTGGCGCTAGGCACTGTGGGAGTGTGGGGCTCTCATGAGCTCTTAAAAGGTATCAAGGGGCCCTCCCTGGTGGCGCAGCGGGTTAAAGTGCAGCACTACGAAGCTATCTGCAGCCTCTGCAGCACGAGCTCCATCCCCGGCCAGGGAGTGACCCCCCAGGGCGCAACACACCTCTCCTGTCTCCCGCTGCTCCCCTCAGTGGTGTGTCTCAGTCACTCCGCCTGTTCTGCTCCCCACTCTGTCTCTGGGGAATCCTCACAACCCCATACCTCTAGCTTGTACCTTAGTTTTTGTGTGAATAATTAAATGAATCAAAAGAAAGGACATTGCGGAAGGCTGGCAGGGTCAGGGGCCCCATAGCCGAGGCCCGAGCAGACCTGCTCAGGGAGGCACCCTGCAGGATCTCCGGTGCCCGGCCAGTGGCCAGTGGCGGGGGGGTGGGTGCTCGTTTGTTTAGTTCTGCTGCTTTCTGGAGAACTTGTTGGTGTTCCCTTCATTCAGGGTGATCTTTAAATCCACAGCTCCTGGATGAGATGGCCACGCTGGTGTTCTTTGTCCTGACGGGGTATACATTCCGCCCGGCTTCAGATAACCCCTACCTCCAGCTCTCTCAGGAAGAAGACGACTTGGAGATGGAGTCTGTGTAAGGAACCCCCCACCCCCACCGCCTCTCCCCTGTCCCTTTACCCAGCCGAGAGCCACCCACTGTGAAGCAGTTCCTTTCCCCACTTTCGGCCGAGGGCGGTGGACCGGGCACCCCAGTGTCCTCCAGCACCACTGGCCTTTCAGGGAACTAGAACTTCCCACCCACAAAGCGGCATGAGCCTCCTGTGTAGTTCAGTAAGCAGACTTGGGCCTCCGTGGCCTGCCCAGACCTGAGGGCGGCTGAGTCTGTGATAATGAGGCAGTGTCTGTTAACATCAGGGTGGGGCGCTGAACAGACCCCTGCAGTCTGGAGGGGACCGGAGAGCGTGTTCCCCCTTCTGCACCACTGGGGAGAGGCGGGAGTGGCGAGCCAGGACGCCAGGACGAGGCGTTCTGTGGCGCGAGCCCTCTGCAGACAGGCCACAGCGAGTCGCAGGGGGAGACGGACTGAGGGGCTTTCCGGGGCCACTTGAGCCTATGGAAGTGAGGTGTCGAGACCACTAGGCCAGGACCCTTGGGGGGCGTGAAAATTGCCCTAGTGCCTCTGCTAAGAGCTTGACCTTTGGCAAGGTTCTGGGAGTTTGTGAGGTGCGACAGGGCAGAGCCTCCCGGAGGGAGGGGGTGAGTGTAGAGGGCCCTTGCGGGGCTTCCAGGCTGTGCTGCTGCTGCAGCCCTCTCACGCCCTCCTGAGATCCCCGGCCAGGCGTGCCGAGCCCTCGCCGGCGTCTCCTGCAAGGCCGCAAGCTCTCTTAAGGGTGCTTCCTGCCAGGGGTGCAGCGCCCTCTCCTCAGGCCACTCTGTGCGCCTCCATCTCGCACGTGTTAGCCACACCCGGGCGCCAGCTTCGCTGCTGCCGACTGGCCGGTTCTTGTCCGCCGCCTCCTGTCTTTCTCACCATCCGTATCTGACGCTGTGTCATGGGAGCCGTATCTGACGCTGATCTCTGGACACTGACCATCTCTCCCTGGGGGCCGCGGGCAGGGTGATAGAATCCTCTGGCCTGAGGCTGCCCCCTCAGCCTGCGGGCCGAGGCCGCCGGGACCAGTGCGGGGTTTATCCTGCCTTCTAGTTCTGTCAGCCTCTCTGGGCTCAGGCGCACAGACTTGCCCGTATTGATGCCGAAATGCTCGCAGCGGCGCTGCTGGGCGGGCGCCGGGCCGTGAGCCGTGTGTGCTCCGGGCCTGGGCTCGAGAGGGGTGCCGGGAGAGGGTGCCGGGAGAGGGGTGCCGGGAGAGGG